TTCTATGGTATGAATTTTTTTCCTCTACATTGTGGCTTCTAAATATCATATTTGAACATCACTTTGAGTAGAACATTCCTCTGTTCTTTGCATAAGTTGGAATTAACTTGTCTGCAAGTGCTGCTTGCTGATTCTCTTAAATCTTCTTCTTTTTCAATCACACATTCTCCCATAAAATAATTTAACATGTAAACCCAAAACCTTTTTTTAATTTTTAAACCACACATTCTCCAAAAAATAACTATTGCAAAACACATTTTCCCCCATAAATGGAGCCCAAACAGGGGAATAATAATATAATTCTGTATGTCGATATGATAATTGATGTCGTTCCATATTCAGGCAAAACAGATCCATATGTTGTTCTAAGATTGGGAGATCAAGTGATACGTAGTAAAAGGAACAGCCAAACTACTGTCATTGGGCCTCCTGGTGAGCCAATCTGGAATCAGGTAAGCTCTTCTTCACCATCCAATCATCTGCCGAGTCTACATTACTAATAAAAAACTCTTTATTTAATATATTATTGTCAGAAATCATGCATGTGCTGCTAACTATAATGCAATTTTCCCTCTTCACAGGATTTTCACATGTTAGTTGCCAACCCTAGGAAAGAAAAATTATGCATTGAAGTAAAGGATTCTCTTGGATTTGCGGATTTGACTGTCGGTACCGGTGAGGTAAGATATCTTAAATTGGCAAATGATACCCCTCATCTTTTATTGGCTTATTTGAAGATCATACTATGTGATCCTTCCTAACAGTTCTGTTGTTTCTGTTATATAATGTATGCAGATTGTAACTTGTTGATATTTAAATTCATCCCGCTGTTCCAAAATTAATATCTTAATATTTAGGTAAAATTGGTGTTAACAGAGAAATGTGCTCTGAAGGGAGGCCCTAAAGTATGTCTTTAATATTTAAGGTTAGATGAAATGCGAAGAGAGAAAGACTTATGACTAAACCAAAAAGACAAGGACGTGAAATAGCACCTTGATGAGAACCTATGTTTAAAGGGAACTCTCTAGTATTATCGCCACCACATCTTACGCTCATGACTGCTTCATCATACACATCCTTAACAATATTGTTATATTTAGTAGTAATTATGTCTCTCTAACTGAAGTATATCCCTGACCCAACCCATCATAGGCTTTCCTGCATCTTTTACACATTCAGATATCATTAGACATTAAACAATTTCATTCACTTCATAGTATCCGCCTTGCCCAAACACTCCAATTCTTTGGTTGGAATTGCATTTCTCATCTTCATCCACTTCATAGCCTCCATCACTCCGAAAAACAGAATTCGTCTTCACTATGCCTTCATCAAATAATTTGTTGAAAATATTCCTCCAATTTCTGTGATCTCAGCACTGTGAAACAAAATTGTTTGGTGTTTTATCTTTAAAACACTTTAGCAAGTCAAAATGTCATTTCCGGGAAATTTTCTTACGACTTAGCAATCAAGAAAGGGAAAACAGGTTTCCATTTTTACTTGGAATATATATTTATTCTTGAAATGGTATTTCAACAAATAATGTGATGTCACTTGTCGTGGTTTTCTTTTCTGTTATTGAGTTTGCATCGCTTCTTTCTTTTGGAGTGTTGAAGGAATGTAGTTTTCTTTCAAATATACTAGCTGTTAAAGGTTTATTCGGGTCTCCAGATTGTGATTCGACCACATTATTTTTCATTTGACTATATGCGCATTATGCAACTGAACTTGTTAAGAACCTACAAAAAAGGATATTATGACTCTTAAAAATACCACCACCTGATTAAAGTACTGTTTTCAGGTTGACCTTGGATCTCTGAAAGATACTGTTCCAACAGACAGGATTGTGGTACTACGAGGAGGGTGGACCCTGTTTGGAAAAGGTACTGCTGGAGAAATCCTACTGCGGTTGACATATAAAGCATATGTGGAGGACGAAGAGGATGAAAGAACTGAAAAAAGAACTGTGGATACGGATGCTTCAGATGATGAGTTTTCTGATGAATCAGATGCTTCAACATCTGAGCAGAGTGGGAAGGATTACTCGATTGGAACAGATGCAGAATCTTTCATGGATGTTCTAGCAGCTTTAATTGTAAGTGAAGAATTCCGAGGGATAGTGACATCAGAAACAGTGAATACCAAGTCTCCAGATGCAGGCGCTAATACTGAAACAGCACCGAAATTGACTTCTGGATCCGGCCAGGAAGTTTCAAAAAGTAATTCTGGTAGTTCTAGAGGTATTTTTGTGAATAATCAATCGTATACTATGTAATTTTATCTAATTTTAGTCTTTCAGATTTTTCTTCTTTATTCAGTGTGTCACCAAGGATACGTCTAATGCAGGGTCGGCCTTATTTTGGCTTGCTGTGATTACAAGTATCTCATTCCTTATAGCTATGAACATGGGAGGCTCTGGTTTATTCAATCCTTGATGTGATATAGGTCATGTGAAATTGCTAAAGAGGTGCCATTACGTTCTACTTCAGTAAATTATTGAACCCTGATATTTCTCTTGGGTGCTTCTCTTTTATCCAAATGCATGCAGTGGAAATTATTTTTAAATTGTTTTCTTCTCTCATTATTCTTTGTGAGGTAAGTTTCTATTAATGAAAATGATTTACATGCATAGCTGAACCAAGTGTCTCATGCTATAATAGGAACATAATTCTACATGTTGGAGGGTATTCTAAAAGGCCTCCCCAGGCTTGATCCTCAACTGTGCAATGCCATTAAGATTATCACCAATATCTCTATTCTCAACGTGTGAGGATGGGTTGCCACTCCATTTGGGGTTTTTTTCTTTTCCTTTTGGAAGAACAACATTTGAAGCGTCGAGCTTTAGCCAGCATTTCATCTTTTACATTATACTGGTGGTTAAGTTTGAAGGTCTGTCAGTTGACCGTGATTCCAGTTCTCTTAATTTTCTGAACTGAGGCTAAGAATGTTTATATGCGGACTAGAAGAGGAAAAGGGAGACTAAAACTAATGCGATAAGTTGAAGTTTCCAAGTATTTTGTTGTTGAGATCATTGAGTAGAAATGAATGGAGGGACGAGAAAGGATTCATTTTGCTGGTCTCAAATTTATTGGTAACGAAGCATAAATTTATGTTGTAGGCAAGCTTACCACGAGGGGACCTCTCAGAGAAGCTCCCCCTAGATGAGGAGGTGAAGAAAACCTATATATATTTATACGAGGTTTCTTGGGGAAAAGCAAGGTAGGAAGAACATGTATATACTTACTATCGATCCAGTCAAGTAACTACCGTAGCCTTACTCAGACCCAATCCCATTTGTAAACACCTCTTGTCGGATGGATAATAATTTTGAAAATAGCATACGCCATAACTTGAATTACGTAATATATCAATTGTTTATTGGAGTCTTACATTTTACATTAGTGAACATCCTGTATAAAATCTAGCAACCCATATCTAAGAATAGCCTGTCTTGGCCCATAAATGATGCACTATTGTGAAATTTTAACTCTGTATGTGCTTGAAGCATTCTTTTTAGAATCAAGTACCATGTGACTTGAGATTTAACTGATAATAATGCTCATCTTCACTCTCCTGCCAATGTGAATATCCCATACTTGGTTGTTGAAGATTCTTCAAAGGCTAGTCAGCCCTCCCACACTTCGATAGATGTCTTTCGGTTCTTATTGGCTTTTGGGTTTCCTCATTAAATGAAGAATTTCTTGATCCATCATTTCTGCAGTAATAGGTATAAAGCTGACCATTAAAGAGTTGAGTCCAGTTCAATCAAAAGTGGGTAGTCATTAAGAGAAGCATCGGCTGGATATTTTGTTTGAACTGTGCTCTATTTAATTATATTATCTACTTGGAATGGGGCTTCCGGTTCTAATCCCATTGGTTGCTGACTTATCTATGTTCCATGGCAGGATAGGCAAGATTGCAGCTTGATTATCTTGAAGAGTGGCACGAGTTGAGTGCTAATTCCTTCTAATTAAACTCCCCATATAACTGGAAAGGAAAATGGAGAAACAGAGAAGAACTATCCACTGCTTTTTCCTTAATAGATTAATGAATTTAGGCAGAGAAATTGTTGCCCCGGCAAATTTTGGGCACTTTTTTATACCTATCATGGATTGCTTTGTATCATAAATTTAGCCCCTGTTTGGGCTTCATTTTAATTGAATGCATTTTTTTATTCTTCATTTTTAAATATACATTATTCAATAAAATAATATTATACGTAAATCCAAAACTTTTTATTAAACTATGCAATCCCAAAAAATTACTATATCAAAATCACTTTCTCAAAAAGTCATTAAAATGGAGCCCAAACAAGGGATTAATTGTGTATAATGAATATTATACAAGGTCTATCGATTGCCTTTAGGGATGAAAATGATGCAAAATTATTCTTCTTTCGTCAGTCTCTCAACGCCCAGGCTATTTTATGAGTAATCTCACTAAAATCGTGAAATTTTGTTTGACATATCTAGGGACAAATGACTTGACATAAAAAGGTTTATGCAGTTAACTTGTTAGACGTAGTTGTGGACAAATGACTTAACGAGAAAGGATTGAAGCAACCGTGCTTAAATTTATTGAAAATAAAATTTAATTCAATTGTACAGTGTCAGGATAAGGTAGTCGTGTAGTCAAAATAGTGAAAGTATTTACTGGATTTCACGAAAGGTACTTGTATAGTCAAAATAGGGAAGGTACTTAATGGATTTCATGAAATATGTTGTTAAAATTAAGAGTTATACCAAACAAACAGGGTTAGTGATAAGATTTAAAAACAAAGGGACTCGTGTCTAAAAATTAAACAGTTAAAAAAAAAAAAAAAAAAAGAAGGAGCCAATGTTCCAAAACCATGTCCAAGCAGCATAAATCTAAAATTAAATGTCGATTTCGATTTAAAGTTTTATCAAATTTTCTAGCAAAATGGTAAAATAACATTAAGGATATCTTAGTAAAGCATTCATCATAAACATGGAAATAATGAATTAATGGTTAATCTCCTATCAATCAAATCCTAATGAAGACTCGAAACCAAATGTAAAAACACACTTGAAATTATAAACAACGTAGCAGGAAACTTTAAAAAACGTAGATTCAAAAGTACAGAAGAAAACATAAATTTCCATGATCCAACCAAAGAATCAGCCTCCTAGAAAACCATCAACCTTGTTATTTGCTTTGGCAGACAAAAACTTCATGCAAATTGGCGCATTAACACCTGCCAATGCAAGAATTGCAGCAGGAACTCCCCACAAAGATTCACCACAAATAAGGCCTGACGCAACAGCAGGGCCAAGTTCTTTAGCCTGTTTCATGTTCTTCTTCTCCCAAAGGAACAAAATCACACTCCCGATGCACATATCGATGGCGAAATACGCGCCTAAGTAGAACGGAATGGCCATGCACATTGGACTAGGGATGAACCTGTAGATTCTGTACTTTGTTTCAACCTTCTTCAGCACCTCGATTATCACATTAATTACTATAGCTGCAATGAAAAATCCGATAGCAAGTTTCAAACAATTCTTGGGGAGAGAAGAGAAGCCCTCGACTCCAAGAAGGGCTATTCCACGGTACATCAAGGCGTAGGGAGCCGGGTACGAGCCAGTGGGGTCGCCTACACTGTATGCTTTGTAGAAAAACCAGAAGACCAAAGGTGACATTAAGCACCCTATAGCAGTGCCAAAAACTTGGCTAAAGAACATGGCACGTGGTGATGAAAGTGTCAAATAGCCAGTCTTGAAATCCTGCATTAAATCAGATGCTGTTGATACAATGCTCATCATCACACCACAAGAAGCTAGGCCTGCAAGAACCCCACCATGATCGAGGCCGACCCAACCACTGAAAACGAGGATAGCAATTTTTCCATAGTTGGAGGCCAATGACCAATCTGTTAGGCCACATCCATAGGCATTGCAGAAGGCTAGGACTGGAGCAATTGAATAGGCCACCAGTATGTGATACCTGTTAGATTTATTTTGACATTAACAGACATAAGTTTAATACAAACTCAAATTTGTAAATATTGAAAAAATAATAATTGATTATGCTACACCAGTCGAAATACCATTTCAGCTGGTGGAAGATAAGTGGTACCACAATGAAAGATATGACTGCAAGCACTAAGTAGCCAGCTATGGCTACAAAATTTGGGATTTGGTCTTTCAAGAAGTAGGTAGTTCTTGTTTTTTCGTCATAGTCCCCTCCGGTGCTTTCACCCTCATTATCAGATTTCTCCGACTTGCGATTTATGAAACTTTTTGACATGACGATGATCATGTAGAAAACATGGAACAGACCATCGCCAAGCATCATTGCGATGGCAAGAAAAACCTGTTGAGATCAAAACGGGTCGAATAATTAGTCATAATATATTTGCTACATAATACTGGACGAGGCAATACTGTACAGTTCACGTTACAAGTCACTATATGTGACTTACCCTGTATCCTTGAATTCCATGAAGACTACTTGCAGATAGATCAGCACTATACCAGCTGCCTTTCTTGGACTCAATCAGAGGCCACATGATTCCCCATGAAACAATGGCTCCAACAAGTAATGAGACATTGACCATGTAAGGGCAAATCATACCAACACCAACATATGTCGATGAGAAATCAAAGTAGAACCTGTGGTAGGAAGAATATATCAAATCTTATTTCAAACATCGGTTATTTTAGGAGCATTCAATTATTTAACAAAGGAATCTAGAAACACGAGACAATAACCCATAAATTCTAGGAAGTAAAGGATAGCATGTCTTCACCGCGTTGAAAAATTCACATTGTGAAAAAAAACCCCTTTCTTCCATTGGGGAAGTTATATTTAACTTTCTTGAATTGTTAGTTCAAGGTTGGTAATTAAGTACAGTATACTATAATTCAAGTATTATTGTCTTTATTTCTATATAGCTAAGGAGAGGTCAAATTTTGCAGAAAGAATAGGATAGGCTACTATTCTCCATTAGATTGACCAATATACCATATATGCACCAAGTTTTTACCACACGGAGAATGTATATTGGTCACGAAAACAAGTGGGTTTAAGCACATGTATACGATAAGTAGTTAATTACAAGCATCCAGACAGAAAACTCAAAGAGAAGGCAACCATACCTTTGTTTGAAGGCCTGGAGACCAAATGTAGGGAAGCTACTAAAACCACAGCCATCAGCTGCTGCGAAAAACCACTGAAAACATGCGAACAGAAAGCTAAAAGAGAAGGACTTGAATAGCGTCATAACTTGTTTCCTGTATTCGAAGAATAGATAATTCACTTATAATTAATAGCTTAATTTTTGAAAGATAAAATAATTTAGAAGTTAAAATCATATATATAATTGGCAAGCTTGGCTCCTTTATTAGTGTGGAAGCTGTTGATAAGGTATGCAGTAGCGGTTCCACTCGGATAAGTCAATGTGTACTTCAAGATCATCATCTGATCAGAAAATTTCAAAGAAAATTATAAGAGTATTGATTAACTGATATTATATATTTTCAAAGTATATAATTCTTCGTTAATTTATGTATATACCTTTCTTAACGGCACTATTGAGAATAGACCAACAAAGCTGACAGTAAAAAGAAAGCCAATTATCCAGCCAAGAGAGAGTTTCTTCACATTCATTGGGGTATTGCCTGCATCTGCTTGAGCTGCTATCTTTGCACTCATTCCTAACAGATAACTCGCTGTCCCACCTGAAAATATGAACATATGTGCGAATTGTTAATTTTGACCATCTTTTTAGTTGAAATTCCAAAGTAGAATTAATAGAATCCATAATTCACTGAAAATAGCTTCATTGATGACGGATATCCCCAAGAATATGCTAAAACAATTAATGGCAACAAGCAATGAACACTGTAAGAAGGTAATGGCAACGCGCATTTGAGGTTTTTTGCAACAAATACTATATGTTGCCATATTCGCCTACTCTAAGGCAACATACGAACGTTACAAAAGAAATATAGCAACGTTCATTGTCGGTTACAAAAGGTGATTTCTCTTTTAGTAATCTTTTACTCAAAGCAAATTGCGTATAGCCATCTTAGTGTCAATTGGTTACCGTAACGAGTATTACTTTTAATTATGTAAAAGATTAATTACTACTTATAGTTGTGTCTTTCTTTCCTTTCGGCAATATGGCCATTGCTTTTAGACTATCTTCGTATATGCATCAGCAAATGGAAAACAAATAAGACTTAAAAACCGAATAAAAATTTCGACTTACTGCTAAAAGCGATCCCGGAAGACGCAACAACTGTTATATATTTATGGTATAAATATAAAATGTGAAAGAAATAATCAAATTAGATAAAGTGCCAAAGTGGTGGGAAATGTGACATTTGTGTGGGACGTCAGGGGTTCGAATCACTCCCCACGCAAATATTAAAATGTCTTGATTTGGGCCTTGGGGCCTTAGGCTCTTGGGCTTCCTTGACTAAAATAAATATTTTTTTTTTTTGGTTATTTAATTGGTAAAACTAGCCAGTATTTTATGACTGTTGGTTTTGTAACAACCCACTAACTGCCATTAAAACACTCACTACTCAGTCATTAAAATTCTGCATTAACATGGTGAAGACTGTTACTACCATCTTGCCTATATAAACCCATGTCTTGCTTTGGGAAAAGACACACAAAAAGAAAATAGAATCAATCACTCTTTTCATATTGTGAACTTCTTATATTCGGGTTTTTATACCTATTCTGGAGTACAATTGAGAGTTCTAGAAAAACCATTCATGATTGCTGCATAAGTGGTTTACGATCGTTGTATCCTGGGAGTGATTGTCCACGGAGGTCACAGCAATTATTGACGGGCAATTTCACTTTAGGACATCGTGCTGTCACGAGACTCGATCGATAAGTTTTATATTTCTGCATTATATTGTTCTGATCACTGCTGCAACTTATTATTTTTCCAACAACAACACATGTCTGAATCACGGTGTTTTCTTGTCTGGTAAATGGCTGCTTCAACATTCCGCACTTTCCGAGAATAGCCGTCCATGCCTTAACAATGGCGAATCCAAGAAGGCCAGCCGCCACCTTAAGCGAAGGAATGACGCCAGTAGTGATATTGAGTTTGCATACGATAATATTGAAAACAAAACTCAAAATAATACTCGTAAAAATAGCTCTCAGTGTTATCTGATTCTTCCATGATGGAATCTCTACATCCTTGAAAGCCTTCTCTATCTCCAATCCATTATTTTTATCGCCTTCATCAATTTCATGGAGCAGTACTTCTTCTTCCTTCTCCCGCATATTGTATTACGAGACTTTCTCTTTTGATTTTGGTGTTTGAGACACAAAAGAGTATGATGAGATTATGATTTGCAGAGACTGAACAATGTCCATATACATACGTGTGTGTGAATATAAAGAGACGACAGTTGTAAGACACCTAAATATTTAGAATAATTTTAAAAATTCATCAAAATCTTAACTTAAGTAATATCAATAATATTTTTTTTAAAAGAATTTTTTCAAAATTATTTCTTATCCTATGTTAAAATAAGCCCACGTTTGGTGTAACGTAAATAGTAGATTAAAATTCAAATCTAAATCAATAATTTACTTTAACCACGTATTTTATGAGAATCACAATTTTTCAATCACCCATTTCATTACTTTTATCATAATATATTAAAATTTTAATTTTTGACTACGCCAAACGGGAGCTAAGTAAATTATTGTTAGCTTTTCAAAGTTAATTACTTATATTTGGATTATGCTTACACAATAATCATTTCTGGCAAAAATATTTTTAACCACATATTTCGTAAGACTCACAACTACTATTCACTTATTGTCAATTCTGTACGATCCACATGAATTACGTGAAATATAATTTAAGTAATCATTCGGTGTAAATTGAAAGTTGATAAAAATATTAGGTGAAAGATTGCAATTAATTTTGATTACACACTTCATATGACCAACAACTTTTCAATCACACATTTAATTTTTTTTTTAATCAAAATCTATTAAAATTCTTATTATAATTCACATCAAACACGGGCTATATATTCTTTTCATGAAATTCATGCAATCATAATAGCTTATTACCAAATTAGGGTTAGTATTCCGTGCATGTTTGACTTGTTGGTTGGTATTCAGTCTATATTTGATGTAAATTAAAATCAAAATTTTAGTAAATTTTGATAAAAAATAATAAAATATGTGATTGAAATTAACTTACGGTGGTGTCCCCATTTCAAAGTTTAATAGATTTCTTAATATTTATAAATTCTCATGGATTGTGTGAAATTTGATAGAATTTAATAGATTTCATAATATTTGAATGGATTTCTATTTTGTAGATTTTAAAAGATTTTCATGGATTTTATAGATTTCAATAGATCTTATAGGTTCTGGGTCAAATTTATAAATATGCTTAACATAAGCCACAAATTTTTACTTGTTCTTTAACGACTCATTCTTACACATATGCACGTTAATAAATCATAGAAAATGATCGAATCTTTATTCAATTGTTTGTTAAACATTGAATATTATAACAGAGCTTCAATAAAAAATACACACAATATTCAACAAAATGCGAGAGTGTGAAAGGACAAAAATATGTAGTGTTAAACAATCAAAGTCGTAATCAATATGAATTAGTTCAAAAGGTCACAACCTTGTGAGATACAAACACACAGATGTACACATACATGACCACAAGGCAATTAATTTCATACCCCCAGAATTCTTATCAACCATGTAGACACAAAAGAAAAAATTATGGGATACCATCCTCATATGTTTTGGCTAGGATTTGCAAGTATATATAGAAAACACACAGCTCTTTTCCAAGAAAAAGGAATAGGGTACAGAACTTGAAAGACAAAGTTGTTCCAGTATGCATACTAGAAACCGTAAATTACTATGATAATTTCCAGCACATCTATAAAATAGTAAACAATGTATAGCTTCAATAAGAAAAAATAAGTTCAATAAAAAATCACACCCAATATTCAACAAAAAATAGTAATCTTTCATAAATTATCATCAATTGAAAAGTTCTCATACACGATCTTTTCACAATAGAGAAATGTGAGATAGAAAGAAAAAGAAAATTTTGTTCAAGATGAGGGGGGAGAGAGAGAGAGGGTAGCAAATATGGAGAGATGTGAGAAATGTTGTGAAATTTTTATGTTTGAGTTAAAATTGTTACTGATTCTTTGTACTTATATTTTTACCTTGAAATTTTTCAAAATCTATCAAAATCTATATATTTAATGAAATCTTTTAAAATCAACTAATTATTGAGGAAGTCTAAATTTCAAAACTACCTATTAAAATCTATGTTGAGGACACCTAAATTTTTAAGTATTTTTAAAAATTCAGATTGGGGACACCTATATTTTAAAGAATTATTTTTAAATCTGAATTGAGAATACTTCAATTTATATGGAGTTTTAAAATCTATCAAACTCTAGATTGAGGACACCCCCTTAGAGTCGATGTATAATAATAAATGGTTAATGTATAATAATTCTAATTTGTGAATTCACACTGCACGGAGGGACTGTGGAATCCGAATCATTGTACAAAATGGAATGTTTGCTGATCAGAATTTTCTATCGTGCGCTTCAAGTAAATGTAACTGAATATTGACCAACTTGAATCAAATATGGAAACTTGTGATTTTACGCACTAATATGAATCACAATATTAAAATCAACGTTGAAAAAAGGGGGAAAAAATTAAAATATAGAGATTTTTTAGCAATTTCCAAAAATGCATAAAACTTGGCTGGTGAATAGAATCAAGTTTCAAAATTTACGCGTCTAGACTTAAAAAAGCTTTTTTATTTTATTTTAATTATTCTAAAACTATTAAATAATGTATATAAAACTTCTAAAATTATAAATACTATAATGATTTAATAATTCCTAAAAGTATACAATTTTTCAAAAATTAGACAAGTATTAAATTTCAACTGGACAATTCCTATTTTATATAGATTTATAATAAGATATTAAAATATTGTTATGGGCCAAGACTTCAAATAATATATTGGGAAAATTACCTTAAAAACTGGGTTTAAAAACCAGTTTTCATAAATAAAAAAGATTAAGTTTAATTTCATAATTCAGGTGATAATTAGAAATTATTAAATAAATATATTCCTAATTTTCCACCCACCAGATCCCCCCCCCTCCTCTCTCATTGCCCTCACACACTCTCTCTCTCTCTCTCCAATTCTCTGAAATCTTAATCTAAATAAGTAAAGGAACGGGGAGAGATGAGGAAGAGACGCGTGGTGAAATTGAGGAGCTGTTTGTAAACAAAAAGTACAAGATTTGGGAGAAGAACACCCCATTCCTCTACGATGCAGCGATTACCCACGCTTTTGAGTGGCTGCTAGACCTGGAGGAGCCGTCAGGAAAGGATTACTCGGTTCAAAAATTTCAAAGTCAGGCCCCATTGATGGGACCTATCATGACAAACCTACACGCATGACTTCACCAATCCCATTCTACCACTAATACATCCATGGGTTTCTATCAATCGAACCAAAATTTGATTCGTTTGTGTGCATCTTTTCTTCTAATTTGTGCTAGCTTTATCTTTCTGCGTCGATGGGTCTATTGTAGTCTGATTGTGAAATTGTAGTGTGTTGGTGCTGTTCGCGAAATTATTTCTTTCGATTTTAAACCACCGTAAGTGTACGGTTCGTTAACAAGTAATAAAGTGGATTCAATGAATCCGAATATCGTCCCACGGAGATTGATTAGTTCAAATTTTATCTACCTTAGCCTTAACCGAAACTAAATTACCAAAATGGATGTAGACCTAATTGAACCTCAATTATGCAATTTTTGACTTATGATTAAATTGAAATTAATATGCAAAACAATAAATTAAACTCGAGAATGAAATCTAAAAGTTGAGAACGCACTTGTTATAATTATTGGGAATGAAATACGCTAGGATCACGAATTCCCATGCAATTATCAATTTAAACCTTAGTTTCACAATATGATAACACATTTCGATTTTGACGAATCAATGTTCCTAAGTCTATTCAATACTCTCTCTCGAGATGTATCAAACCTATTTCTACACACCACCGATCTATATTTTTAGGACAAGAGCATATGTAAAAATGCATGAAATTTTATGAGATTCACATAGAACATAGCGGTATATTTCTATCCACTGTCGGACCCTACGATGATTTATACTATGTCAAATCTATTCCAATTCTCTCGAATGCAAGAATAAATCACTTAAATTC